TAACCACGTGTTTGAATTATGCGGGGAATTACGTGCGGCAATGGGCAATGACCTCAATGAGTTCACGCACTGACATTTAAATTCGGGCCACCCAGTTTGACGCAAAACGATATAGTTACTTAACATTTGTTCAAAAAATCGGTAAACTCTCGCGAAGAGTTAACTGAAAGGCAACGTCGTGTTTGACCCAAAAAAAACACATCAATACAAGATTATGTGTGCGAGGTTAGATTTATAGAACGTACATGACCGCTTAACTCTGTTTTTTTTTAATAATCATGTCGCACGTGAAACACAGGAGACATTTTAGTTCGACCATTTCTTGTTTACCGATCTTGAACTTTTTGTCTGGAATGCGATACAGGCAAAGAATAAACATTAATGATACCCACCATTGTCAAATCAACAAAGGCTTGAATCAGGAAGGCTCGGCTATTTAAAACTTTGTAAATAACATTCTTTTCATGTGGTATACTTTATTCAAGTGTAACAAACGTAAGTGAAATGTATGGACGAGTCATAATACTCGTACCTTCGAAAGTTACGATTTTTACTCTTGGAATTGGTGATAAATACATGCATAAAATACAACATTGTTTCATGCAACAACAATTTGTATACAGCATTGGATTTTTATATTAATTAAATACGTGGGCCGATAATATTACCATATGCTTAGTATTTCCATGCCAGCGATGCTCGTAACCTGCTCGATTTAAAAACAGCTATTTGAAATAAAGACTCATGGAATCACAAAGGAAACTGTTAAGTACGCATTTCACACCTTTCCTATGACCGGGGTTGCAACCGGTACTCTCCCCTAAGTCAAATATGTATGTCAACATTATTACTCAGAGGCAAAGATAAGTACTCAGTGTTCTCCAATAGGCTTGTTAATATTGCAAACTTCTATACACTCAACATCTCTGTAAACAAATAATTTTCTCAGTTGCATGTTGGTGTAGTGATGTTGGTTTTACTGGTGACAGGATTCACTGGACCTGGTGTTCAGTTTAGACAAGTTTCATTCTACTGATGTTCAGTTTAGACAGGTTTCATTGCACTGGTGTTTAATTTAGACAGGTTTCATTGCACTGGTGTTTAGTTTAGACAGATTTCATTGTACTGGTGTTTAATTTAGACAGGTTTCATTGTACTGGTGTTTAATTTAGACAGATTTCATTGTACTGGTGTTTAATTTAGACAGATTTCATTGTACTGGTGTTTAATTTAGACAGGTTTCATTGCATTGGTATTCAGTTTAGACAGGTTTCATTGTACTGGTGTTTAATTTAGACAGGTTTCATTGTACTGGTGTTTAATTTAGACAGGTTTCATTGTACTGGTGTTTAATTTAGACAGGTTTCATTGTACTGGTGTTCAGTTTTGACAGATTTCATTGTACTGGTGTTTAATTTAGACAGGTTTCATTGCATTGGTATTCAGTTTAGACAGATTTCATTGCATTGGTATTCAGTTTAGACAGATTTCATTGTACTGGTGTTTAATTTAGACAGGTTTCATTGTACTGGTGTTCAGTTTTGACAGATTTCATTGTACTGGTGTTTAATTTAGACAGGTTTCATTGCATTGGTATTCAGTTTAGACAGATTTCATTGTACTGGTGTTTAATTTAGACAGGTTTCATTGCACTGGTGTTTAATTTAGACAGATTTCATTGTACTGGTGTTTAATTTAGACAGGTTTCATTGTACTGGTGTTCAGTTTTGACAGATTTCATTGTACATTGTACTGGTGTTTAATTTAGACAGGTTTCATTGCATTGGTATTCAGTTTAGACAGATTTCATTGTACTGGTGTTTAATTTAGACAGGTTTCATTGCACTGATGTTTAATTTAGACAGATTTCATTGTACTATGATCTTAAAAACTTTTTTTCTTTTCATTTAAGACGGATCAACAGTTGGACTGTGCCCTTGATTTGATGAGACGACTTCCTCCACAACAAATAGAGAAGAACCTCAGTGACCTCATTGATCTGGTGAGTATCGTCTCAAGGTCCGATTGGTGGGGTGGGGTGGAGTGGGGGTAGGGTGTTGAATAATAAATGGTTTGAATTGCTGTAAACATCTTTGATTGTGAATCAATAGATATTGCAGCAACATTCAAAATTAGCTATTATTATCTGCGCCAGCGTGAAGCATGTTTCATGTGCGATTCTAGAGACCTTGCCACATTTCTAGGTATGTATGTTTTGTATACCACTATAGAAGGGAAATAGCCAGGGCCTTCAGACTTGGCAAACATGTTCCTCATGCGACTCCTGAGTGCATTTCCTGGTCAAAGCTAAAGGTCACATTTTTGATTTGTGTGTTCATTATTGGGGAAGAGTGCAACATTGTTAACATTTAACTATCTTTAACTATTCATTATGAATATCAGCAGATAAAATTGCGCAATATTATATGATTGTCTTGTCAAGTTTTTATGCTTCATTTGAAAAGCTGATACTAAATACTATATTTGTAGGTTCCTGATCTATGTGAAGACCTACTTTCTTCGGTAGATCAACCTTTAAAAATAGCACGTGATAAAACAGTGGGGAAAGACTATTTATTATGCGACTATAACAGAGACGGTGATTCATACAGGTAAGGTCACAAGAAATTATTTCCTTTCCTTATTTTGAAATTGTTCACATATTTATGTCATTGATTTTGATAAAAATTCTGCAAAATAACTAGAAATGATGGAGCCTGCATATACCATGGTTCCAGACAGCGAAAACTAAACATGACATCATTAGTATTTTTGTTTATTAGGTCACCATGGAGTAATATGTATGACCCGCCTTTGGAGGACGGGGCTATGCCATCTGAAAGACTTCGAAAATTGGAAGTGGAAGCCAATTCTGCCTTTGACCAATACAGAGAAATGTGAGTAATCAACTTTTTTTTTGGAACATGCAAACTGCACATATTTTAGTTATTCAGAAGTTAATGCACGAAAGTATTCAGTTATGATTGAGTTACTTCATAAACTCATTAGTCTATGTCATAAATTATTAAAATCAATGGAAGATGTTACCAAATTATTCCAAAATTATTTATTTTTTCTATTTCGATGTTTTGAGCGATTTCACTTGGTTTTAAGTTCAACAAATTGGCAGGGTTCTATTGTTATCTTTCATGTTCACATTGATTTAATTTAGTGAATTTCACTTATCAATGGAAAATAGTGAAATTGAAAACCAACGAATAATTAATGCCTTTCATTTGGCTTGTTGGTTTCTGCCATTTCATTTTTGTGTCTAAACAGTGATAGTAAATCCTCCTCCTTCCTTACCTTTTAAATTTGTCAAGACTAGGTTAAATTCTGTTTGGAATTTGCCAAAATTTTCAGATGATGAAGCCAATTTGAGAGTGCATACACTAATAAACTTGTGCATAATCTTCCCTCAACCTTTTCACCACCAGACTTTCTCACCAACAATTTTTCTGCACTTTTTTCTTATATTCTACAATTTCTGGAAATAAACCCTAATTTTGAGGTCAAAAGACAAAATTTGAGCCAATTTAACTGTTTTCGTCCCAGTCTTCTGAAGGAAAGTATGAACTATAAACGGGACTATTTTGCGAATTTGGGATGAAAAGAGAGAAATGGTAGTTAAAAGGTTAAACCAGGATTCCCAGCAGGACAATGTTTGACATGAGTAAAAATACTGTTATTTACCCCTTGTATGGAACATGACCTGATTTATATTATACTAACATTGTTGTATCTTTATGGCAGGTATTTTGAAGGGGGTGTGTCTTCAGTGTATTTATGGGATTTGGATCATGGGTTTGCTGGGGTTATACTTATCAAGAAGGCAGGAGATGGCTCCAAAAAAATACAAGGCTGTTGGGATTCTATCCACGTTGTTGAAGTATCGGTAAGAAATTATAAAATCTGGGAATTGAAAGTTGAGGTGGGATGAGGAATGACTTGATGTACAGTGGGCGATGAAATATACTGATCAGAAAATGGCTATCTCTCTATCAGTCTCCCTTGGAACATTGTATCATTTCCTGGAACATTTTCAGGCATGTTATGACTTTCCCTTCAACCATTGGAATGTAGGAACACTCATTTGCATATAGTTGCATATAGGAACTCCTATATTTGATGGAGGTGTTAGACTATGAAATGGGATTGTGTTTTTTTTTATTTTTGAGACCGCCCATTATTCATTTGTGTGTTTTGCAGGAGAAACCCAGTGGTCGTAGTGCACATTACAAGCTGACGTCCACCGCCATGTTATGGTTACAGGTGAGTGTATGCTTTGATTTCCAATACCATTCTCATGATTTTACATAGATGACAGTGCTAGTGGTCTTATCCATTATGACTACTCAAATTCAGAATTATTTTATAAATCAAATCAAAGTTTTAAACTTCTATTATTTTGTCGTTTGTTTTCTTGCAGACTAACAAAAGTGGATCTGGTATAATGAACCTAGGCGGTAGTTTAACAAGACAAGTAGAACAGGACACTAATGTCAGTGATGCCACACCACATATCGTCAATATCGGCAAAATGGTTGAGGCATGTATACTTACTATGCCATGTTTATTGCTTTCTCAATAATGCGCTTCAAATTTAAGGGACACCAATCTCACATTTTTAACATTCCTGTATGTAAGTGTCTGTAACAGAGAAAACATGATATACAGTGGTACCCTCATAGGTGTGAAACATGTAAAATTTGTGCTTGTTGTGTTTCAAATGTTTTTGGGGGCTATTTGTAAATGATAGTGTACGCACTCCTGGAATACTAAATCAACTATATTTTTAATAAGACAAATGATTTTTCAAATGTTGTCTATAGAGGGCAGTATGAGGCATTTCACTCATTAGGAATACTTGAATATTTCTATCACACACACACACACACACACACACAAATAAATGTCCTTGTTTATTTTACTAATGTGAGTTAAATGTTATTTTTTCAGGATATGGAAAACAAAATCAGGAATACACTAAATGAGATTTATTTTGGAAAGACAAGAGATATTGTGGGCAGTTTAAGGTAAATAAATTGTACACCTTTTCCGGTAGTACTTACTCCAGATCAGGGGAATTTCTACTAGCATTTTTAAGGGTGTGTTTGAATTCATCGCTATATGTAGTATTTGGCCCATATTGAACACATGTAGCCAGGACTACCACCACCAATCTTTAAGGTAAATGGGATGATCTAGGGTTTGTGTCTCAGTGGGTATATCAGAGGCAAATTGAATCTCCAAATAGTAGTCCTTGTTTGATTATGCAAATTACATATTCCATATTTATTCTTTTATCTTCAAATAGAAGCACATAAACTAAAAATTGCATTTGTTGCTTTCTGAATCATTAAAATATCTCATTAGTTTGACCAAAGAAAACATGTGCTACTAATACAAGTAAAGCAAATACTCTACTATTCTAATCTTTTGTTTACTAAATTATATTTTCATTATTTGCTACAGGTCATATGCAACTCTAGAAAGTGAAGCAAGTCGCAAACAATTTCAGCAGGATTTGGCATCAGCTCTGAATCAACGAGGTGGTGGCAATTAATTTGACAGATTTATATTTTTAGTTAAAATTATCAGAGTGTGTAAGCTAAGTAGAATGAGGAGTGTTTCATTGAAACTTGTCAAAAAATGACTAGAGAAACTGATAAAGTTCACAGATGTATTCACTGTATACTGTTGGGTTTATCTCTATGCTAAGCAACATAGGTTTGTACTGCATTCCTTCAAGATTGGGTTTCATATTTACTGCATTCTATTAAGATTGGGTTCAAGTCCATATTTACTGTATCCTTGTCAAGGGTGGGTTCAGATGCATATTCTCTGCATTACCTGGTTCATTTTGCTGAAAAAAAAAACGTGTCTTTTTGTATGAAGTTTATTTTCACTGATTGATGAGTTGAATGTAAAATATAGGTAAAAGAGCATTTTTCCTAGATTTCTTTTTAACAGATGTATCCCTTCAGCAAAAATAAATTTCAATTGAGAATAAAGTACTTGACAGTACTCAATGCTGGGTTTAGTTCAGGTTCATATTTTAATACTGCCTCCCTATCGAGATTGGGTTCAAGTTCATATTTACCATACTCCTGTCAAGTTTGTATCTACTGCATCCATGTTACAGTGGAGTTTAGCTTTTCTGTGTTCATTTCAGGGATAAACCATAATCTATGAAAGATGGCAAGAAACAAAATTCAAATAATAACTGCACATCAATTTTGTTTTTGGACAAGTTTCACTGACCTCAATATTCCCATTGTTTTGACTGTATTCTTAATCTTACAGTAGAATGGAACGATGGAATTAACAACTTTGTAACGTAATATTAGGTTATCACAAGAATGCCACCAATAATGCACAGATACAATACAACAATCGTATCGACTGACACATAGTGAAGGTCAATGCAATCCCATATTGCCTCAGTGCATACTTTCTGGTATTCTCAAAATTACCTTATTATTATACATCTTCCCTCGGCTGTAGTAATAGTTTAATGAGAGATAACAGCCCAAAATGAAATCAAATATTTGTTTTTCCACTTTCTTAATTCTGCATTCAATGAAAAACAGATGTGACGTCAACAACACAGAACGCATTCATTGTTGGTGACTTAGTTTATCACATATAAGAAAAACTTTGGAACTAGTGCAGATACATTTGCATCATCAACGAATGCAGAAACAGCTTTTCACTGAACAGAGATTTCTATTGTTTTTGGTGGTAGATGTATAATAATAGACATTGATTGAATTACTAGGGGTACTTTATTAAGTCCATTACGTATACTATACAAATGTGATTTCAAACAAATTACCAAACTATATGGGTAAATACTACTTGTCTTAATTTTGGATTTTATATTGAAAGAATATATGGTGTTCTTTGTGGTCAATCACATCTTCAACTGCATATTTAAGTTCTCTTGTATTCCATATTTTACTTTTAAAGGAACAATACAACGCAATACGAAACTAAATTTGTGTCGTTGTTGTTTTGCTTTCTTAACATTAGTATTCTTGTGTTATGAATTATTTGTACATGTTATACACGTTTTGACACTGAATGCAAACTATGACTGAATTATTTGTCATGCTAGTCTGGAAAATTATTTTTGATTCTTTCCGACAAATCTGACTATTGCATGGTCAAGTTTGCATCAACTGTGATTTGTCACTGGAATTATTAGAAATATGTACATATGGAAAGTGCATTAATGCAGTCTTTAACAATCAAATATATAGTGCTAAATAATGGTGTCCGATGAGTGTTATTTAAGCTTTACTTGAAATAATATTCCTTAATACTGTACATTGTTTAAAACTGAAGCAGTTGTTGAACCTATTGGGGGGGGGGGGTGAAATTTGGGTTGAAAGTTATGGCGTTCAAGAGTTGAACTGATCGAAACCAGGCATATGGTTCTGTTCATAAAGTTATCATTGTCTTCACTACAATAAATATTGTATTGCTTGGCTTGTGCTGAACACCACTAACCTAGTGTTTATCTGCACACAGTGATAACACAAATAAAATTGTTCTATAACTTTTGAAAAAACAGACCTCATGATTATACTGGAAACAACTCAAGAGTAAAGATAATGGAAAATGCTTTACATTGAATATTTTGTAATATATTTGATCGTCGAAAAGATAATTTCATGCGTGATTGTGTGGCTGACACCCAAATATGTGGAAAACTGCAATAACTGAATCCTCTGTTAGGCTGTGATGTTTGACTATTGGCAAGAAACTTCTGATGTGGATTTCTTGCAATTACAAGGCTGTAACAGTACACGTAATACTTGACACATCAACACGTCAACTATCGCAGTACAAAATGGAATAACATTTGTTGGCCAAGAATATGCACTTTCCAAGACCACAATGAGTTAGGATCTAAATCTGATGCTATTGTGTTTTCACTGTCGGCTATAAAGTATGGGTTGTAATGTGTTTTTTTGTGGAGAATTTTATAGATCCTGTTTCCAATTGAGTAGATTATTTTTGATAACACGCAAGATTACGTGTACATAGTACAAGATTTCCCATAATTGACGTAGCTAGATTTTGGCAGTCTATATAACTGATTATACAAATAATTGTTCAGTTCTTGATTAATTGTATTATGCATAGCCGATGAATTCACCAACCATATTCTGAAGGCAATTGGCTTTAAAAAAGAACACCTCGATGGACTACCATGGTATGGTACTAAAATAAAAAAAGTGACATGCCGGAGACAAGTGATTTTTAGTTTGACATTTTATTGGCTTGACCAGGTACACCAAGAAATGTACATGCTTTCATTTTTATGGCAACAAGCATTCACAATTTACTTAGCAGTCTTGTTGACTTCTTAAACTTAACAAGGTAAGTACGCTTACACTAGAACTATCCCCACAAGTAAACAAGCAGCCTATCGGCTGAGATAGCTCCGCTGTTAGCAATGCACATTTCAATTAAAGAACTGAAGACATGATTAGAAAATGAACAATATGAATAATATCAAAGCAATCAGACTTACAGTTTTTAACAAGAAGTCGAAAATATCACTTTTTACCAAAAAATTACAAAAATATTCACCAAAATAAATTAATTAGAGAATTGAAGATATCATCACAAAACGAACAAATCTGAGAGAGGTCCACATGTAGTACCTATATATGTAATATCAAAGCAATCGGACTT